CACAATCAGCTGAAACAATTACTGATGAATAGTCTCTACAAAAATGCCAAATCTGATCCTAAATGTGATACTATCACTCATACTCAAAGAAAATACATAGAAGACTACCAAATAATAAATATATTCAGATTTACTCCACCTGTCTACAAAGGCAAAACTGGTTGTTTCAGAATGGCTATAAAAGTACCTAATGGGACCCCTCCAGTGGAACAAAGAACTAGAACAACATTCAGTACACATATATGCTGGCTCGTGTGACTCTGACTCAACGACAAGAATACCTATACAATACAAAACACCCCTAAATTTAGCTATGATAAATTAGAATAAGAGGTCTAAAAAGCAGCCCTCCCCATCTAGCTTCTTGCCGAAAACAACAGCAACACAAAAGCGAAAGACATTTCAAGACAAAAGTGGCACATACCAGGTAATATCCAGTGTGATAACCACTCATGTACCAAGCTATCAACATGCTCCCCAGTGCTTCATCGTCCTCAGGACAGTCTGGCCTCATAGGTGGTGGTGGAGGAATAAACTAAGAAATCACAAAGGAAATGTCTGTGTTTCAATAGGGTACATCCCAGCTTAGACAGCAACCAATTCTAAAAGATATAAAACTGAAAAAAAGGAATGTATCCTCAATACATTCTCTGAAAAGGAGTCAAATAAGACGTTATTTTCTGAAAACAAGTAATTTCCAAAGCCTGAGAGAAATAGGATTCCTGTAGCTTGACTGTACACAAAGTTTTGTTAGGGGTAAAATACTTATCTGAACCAGAGAAATGCTGTTAATGAAGTGTAAGGTGTGGTTTCTTCAAAGAATTTTTCTCTTTATATTCTTACCAACAGCTTTACTGTCATGAAAATGAGTGCAGACCTGACTCTGTACATTCGATTCTTGTAATACTTGTAACTGAATGTGTTTTTAAATACTTGGAAAATACAGACCTTAACACAGGAATGTGTTCTAAAAACATTGGCAGTGAGTACATTCAGTTAGAAAACTTGAGATCATCTATACTCATCTCTGATGCTTTCTTCCTTGTTCTCCTACCACTTACCGGTGGTCCTGCTGGGAAGGGTGGGGGCCAGCAAAATAAAAACGATGGAGGTGCCCCGAATTTTGATCCAGGCTACATTGAAAAAATTGAATAGTGCAAATTAAAAAGAAAATTCAGGCATTAGGATTTTATTTAAGAGAATTATTTGAAGCAATTCACAAACCTCAAACTAAAGGCAACACATCCCAGCAATTTAATGACACTGCAGTAACAACACACAGTGGCTATTTCTGTGGAGCATCCTGTGACTGGAAAATTAAAACTCACATACATTACAGATGTCACTGAGGTAAACAGTGCTGAAAGAGGGTTCTGGTTAATACAAGCACTTTAAAATGCTTTTTCTAACTAGAAATCAGTGGTTGCACTTTCACATCAAGAAACATATCTAATACTGCCCACAAGGCAAAAAGATAATTTCCCTGCTCCTGTGCAGCTGGGGCACATGCTGACTAAAATCCGTTATGCTTTTAAATGACTTTAAAATGAGCTTAGACACAAATCTGTTGATACCAAAGCAAAAAAAATAAAAGAAAACCTTATAAATAAATCTTGCACAAAGAGCAATATTAAAAAAAAAAAAAATGCTGCTTTCAACTGCACTATTATTTAGTCTCCTACACAACAGGAAAGCTGAAGAGTGTTTCAACACCCCAGCCCTCATAATTCAATAGAGAAGCTACAGCTGAGAGCTTCTATGACATCTGGACATCACTTTTGCTGCCTTCAGTGTCCTCCATAGTAAAACAGATCAATTGGCTAGAAAAAGTGCAACCTTAAAACATCAACAGTGCTATCAACAGCACTATCACACTCCAGAGAACAGCATCCCTTCTTTTAAGTTACAAGGCAATTGCAAAGCAAGTGTTAGCAAGGGAGGAGGCTTTCCTCACCAGCCAGCAGCACCATAAAAGGTGTTACACTGTGGCGAGATTATTATAAAATGCCGTACCAACAGGTTCTAACATGCATATCTGTATGTCCATTCTCAAAATGCTGCTATTTGGGTTCTAGACAATGATAAACATCATCCTATTGTCTCAGAATTTAGAGACCAGGCTTAACAATAGCCTATGAATGATTTCAAATAAGCCTGAGCTTACCATTCCCAAGCCTGGGGAAGCTGGTGGCGCAGGAAAATGTAGGTTTTGAGGGAAGAATCTTGCTTTTGTACAGCTGGGTTTTTTTCGAGATGACTGGGAAGATTTTTCACTTTCATCTGTTGAATACGGAGTCTCATTTTCATTCTAGAAGACCAAGATGTTTTTATAAGATGCACTAAACAGAAGTTTACAGCAAGCAATTTTAATGAGAAAAAAGCTTGGAAAGCCCCATCCATGTCCTCCCCTCTCTCTAGCCCTCCCAGTGCTACTCAAGAAAGATTTTATAACCTCATAATCATATTTGCTAACCATTTCAACTATGTTATCTTTCACTTGTGAATTTCTTGTTGTTCCCTCCCTTTATTCCATGCTGAGTTCAAGAAGTAAGGGGATGCTTTTATTCCCTCCATCAGCTTGTGTCCATTCACAATGGAACTGGGTATCGATTCTCACTCTGAACATTCTAGTAGTACCAGAAATACTGAAAATTTTGGTTCTCCCACATTTGTCTTTTCTTTTCAGAAGAAGTGAAAAAGTGTCCCTCACCTCCCCGGAATTCCCCATCCCATTTACTGTTTCATTGCTGGTTGGAGGAAGTAGATCAGACAGGTTCTGCTCCTCCTGATTTCCATATCCTGTGTAAGTAACAACACATGTGCCTGTCTTCTGATTGATGGAGGCAATAGTTGCTAGGTACATATTACCATCCTCAGACCAAACAGCATTACAGCTGTCACCAACTTTCCACTGCAACAGAAGCAAGAGAGGCAAGTAGATACCTACACCAGAGATCAGAGAGAAAGACGCTTTTCTCTATGCTACTTTTTGTCCCAACCAGGAGAAAGATGACTCCCACCCCGTAAGTTCTTCCTTTGTATTTAGTGAAATTGCTCAATGTAACCTATAAATAAGGTTTATAACATTATCATACCCCCCCACCACCACTCCAGAATGTTACTCCCAAGATGATGAAAGAAGCTACTTTTGAGTACCGCAGAGAAATACAACATGCAGTACGAGCACCACTAGCATTTACAGGTAAGGTGACCTGTTTCAAAGGCACCGTGTTGCTCTTCTTTCTATTTCTGTTCTTTTTATTGTTTTTCCTCTTCATCCCTAGGCGCTGCTGCTGTTTGTCCAAAGGCTCGGAGCACTCTCCGTTCTTCAAAGCGTTCTGCGGAAAAACAAAGGCCAAGACAATAAAGGGCAATACAGCGGCCTCCGCCCAGGGTCCAGCTAGGCCCAGGCCACCCCCCCTTACCTTGAAGGAGGCCACCGCCCTGTCGTACGCC